GCACTCTACTAAGGGCAATAAAGTAAGACTCTGTCTCTACCAAAAAAAAAAAAAAAAACTGGACAGACACACCAACAATATAGAGGAAGGAACCTTTAATTGCAGGTGAGAACTCAGGTGCCTCAAGGTGTGAAATGCTGAATTCTGAGGACTAGTTTTTTTTTTAGAGACAGAGTCTCACTTTATCACCCTTGGTAGAGTGCTGTGGCATCACAGCTCGCAGCAACCTCCAACTCCTGGGCTTAGGCAATTCTCTTGCCTCAGCCTCCGAGTAGCTGGGACTACAGGCGCTCACCACAACACCCAACTATTTTTTTGTTGCAGTTTGGCAGGAGCCAGGTTTGAACCCGCCACCCTTGGTATATGGAGCTGGCACCCTACCCACTGAGCAACAGGCGCCACCCTGAGGACTAGTTTTGTTTTTGTTTTTGTTTTGTTTTTGGCTGGGGCTGGGTTTGAACCCACCACCTCCGGCATATGGGACCAGCACCCTACCCTTTTGAGCCACAGGCACCACCCCATGAGGACTAGCTTTTTTCTAGCCTCTTTTATACCTTTTTTTCTCCAGTTCAATATCAGCTACATAGTTATGGCTACAGATGTTAGAAACCAGGGTATTGTTTAAATTAGAGTCTTTTTCTCCTTTTCTTTCTTTCTTTTCCTTTTTCTTTTCCTTTTTTTTTTTTTGAGACAGAGCCTCAAACTTTCACCCTGGGTAGAGTGCCATGGCATCACAGTTCACAGCAACCTCCACCTCCTGGGCTTAAGTGATTCTCTTGCCTCAGCCTCCCAAGTAGCTGGGACTACAGGCGCCCACCACTATGTCCAGCTATTTTTTGGTTGCAGTTGTCATTGTTGTTTGGCAGGCCCAGGCTGGATTCAAATCTGCCAGCTCTGGTGTATGTGGCTGGTGCCTTAGCTGCTTGAGTTAAAGGCGCCGAGCCTTCTTTTGCTTTTCAAGGTTATTTCAGCTCAGTGTAAAGTTTGCTCTTATTCTTAGAGAAGTTGTTCTTCTGCAGCTGCCTGCTGCTTTCTCAGGATCACTGAGAAATATAAGATTTCTTTCTCCTTCCTCAGGCATACATCATTTTCACCCCCACAGAAAACCCATGCCCCATTTGTCCTCCCTGGTTCCTTCTCATCACTCCAAAGAGGCCCTCTCCAACCACCTTATTTAAAATACATTCCTTGGGTGGTGCCTGTGGCTAAGTGGGTAGGATGTCAGCCCCATATACTGAGGGTGGCAGGTTCAAACCCGGTGCCAGCCAGCTAAAACAGCAGTGGCAACTGCAACAAAAATAGCTGGGTGTTGTGGCGGGTGCTTGTTGTCCTAGCAACTCAAGAGGCTGAGGCAAGAGAATTACCCTAGCCCAAAGAGCTGGAGGTTGCTGTGAGCTGTGATGCCACAGCTCTCTACCGAGGGAGATAAAGTGAGATTCTGTCTCTAAAATAAAATAATAAAATACATTTCTCTCTCTTGTCATCACTGGGTTCTCCATTCCAGCACCCTGATCAATTACTTAATAACACAAAGTTTGTAGTTATATAACTACTTTTTTTTTTTTTTTGCAGTTTTTGGCTGGGGCCAGGCTTGAACCTGCCAGCCCCGGTATATGGAACCAGTGCCCTACTCCTTATATAGAAAATATTCTATTTTCTCACTATACTGTAAATCCCACAGAAGGGCAAAGGCCCTGTCACTTTTGCTCGCTACTATATCTGGCACAGAATAGGTGCTCAGTGAAGACTGCATGGTGGCAAATGGGCAAATGGTAACCAAGGTGATGATGATGATGATGCTATCAGAGCCCTTCCAGAGAAACCACTGTTTTGTATTGACTGAACCCATGGCTATAATCTGCCCAAAAGTGGTAGCAGGATTGTTCCCACAAAGGATGCCCCAAACCAGGGGTCCTCAAACTTTTTAAACAGGGGGCCAGCTCACTGTCCCTCAGGCCGTTGGAGGGCCAGACTGCAGGCCCTGGGACGAGTTGGCTGCTAAGCAGGACAGGCCGCGGTGGCAAAAACACCCAGCAGGCCGATAAATGTCCTCCGCATTTGGCCTGTGGGCCATAGTTTGAGGACGCCTGCCCCAAACTATAGAGATGGGGCTGGTTGGGGTCCCAAAGAGAGAAGCACCAAATGCTGGGGTGATAAGTTCAAAGGGAAACTCACCCACAGAAGGGGCTGCAGCGTACCCTCCCTGTGGACAGCAAGACAGAGAATGTTCCACCTGTATGTGTCCACAAGGAGGGGCTCAGGTGTGGGGTTTATAGGAGAGTTTAAGAAATTTGGCTGGGGAAGGGCTCACTTGTGCTTGCTTAGCCACATGATTGGTCTTCAGTATTTCCAGTGCCAATCTAAACGGTTTATCAGGGCCTGGGAGTGCTTGAGGCCCAGCTTGGGCTCAAGCTTTCAGGGGAAAACAAGCAGCTTCGAGGTCACAGAGTGGTCAAGTCACGCTGTACTTCTCACTCAGGACAGAGAACAAAGTAGAGAGATGGAGGAACCATACACCCACCACACTGTCAAGTGCTCCTCTTCCCCTTTCTTCAGGCTCCAGTCTCCTACCCTAAAGCCCCTACTTCCGAGTTTTGCTATGGATAACTTCAGGAAAGTACAAAGAAAAAGGGCAACAAAAATCTCCTCAGGATGATGACCAATGTGAGTGGACTGAAAATGGAAGAGAGAGGGGAAATGCCAGGAGATGTGAGGAGAGAGCCAGCATGCCTGGGGGAAGGACTCTGTGGGGACCGGGTGGCTATTGGGTGTGCCCTTTTCTATTCTCTGGTTCCCTTAGATAAGAAGAGCAGTTTTGTCATACTCTTGCTTCATTCCACAGTCCTGCCAGCCCTAGTCCCACTGGAAAGCATGTCAGCCCAGGAGACCATATCAACCGAGCAGCTTTGGTCAGGGGTCTCTAAGTCCCAAAAAGACTTAGCAAAGTACATTCTGACTGGGGCTCCAGGAGGTAAGAAGGGGAAACAGATACTATCGAACAGAGGGGGGAAAAGAGGGTAAAAATAAAGAATGGGGGTAGAGGGTATAAATGATCCCTATCTGCTGCTGGCTGTGACGGATCAGGGGAGGATCTGCATTCATCATTCTCCCTTGTGTTACATTATGGACCCTGGGCTGGAGCTCTTGTCCAGGGGCTGTAGGCAGGCCAGAGAGGAGACTACAGCATGGGAGCCACGGGGCATTCCCGTGGTCCCTGGACTCTGGCCCCTGGCTTACCAGGCTTCCCATGGAAAGGGAGACACTGGTGACATTTTAACCAGTTAGCCCAGCACCAATCTAAACTGACCCCAGCCCAGCCCAGCCTCATGCCTCTGACAGCCCAGCAGTGTGGAGCAGACCCACAGAGAGGAGAGGCGTGCAGTGGCATGGAAGGTGAGCTGAAAATGGGGATCTCCTGAGCTGGGCTTGGTCAAGCTACAGGCACGTGGAGCAGCATTGAGGGTGCTGGGGAAACTAGAGGAGGGTATGGGGCAGCCAGTCAATTTCCGGGGGTTGGAAGGAAGAAAACAAAAACATCAGGAGAGGGAACTGGGTGACTCTGGGCCTGTATAATGAGGCCACTGTGAACTAGACATCAAGGTGGGGTGAGGCTGAGGGAGGTCAGCAGCTGAAGGGCAAGAACACTGCAAGGGGGTGAGGGTCAGTATAGTTTGGTGGTCTAAAACTTGAGCCCTAGATTTGAATCTCATCTCTGTTACGTAGAAGCTGTATGATCTTGGGCAATTTATTTCATCTTTCTCAGCCCTGTTCCTTTTCTGTAAAATCAAGATAATTAGAGAGAATTACATAGAATCTGCTTAGGCCAGGCATGGTGGCTCACACCTGTAATCCTAGCACTCTGGGACGCCAAGAAGGGTGGATTGCTTGAGCTCCAGTCTGAGCCAGAATGAGACCCCACCTCTAAAAATAGCCGGGCATTGTGGTGGGTGCCTGTAGTCCTGGCTACTTCGGAGGCTAAGGCAAGAGAATCACTTAAGCCCAAGAGTTTGAGATTGCTGTGAGCTCTGTTGCCACGGCACTCTACCAAGGGTAACAATTGAACACTGTCTCAAAAACAAAAACAAAAACAAAAACTGCTTTATAGGATCCTTGTAACTTAGTAAAAGAACTCATGCATGATGCTTAGCTTCTAAGAAGGGCTCAAGACAACTTGAAGGAGTAATGAAATCACAGAGGAGAGGCAGGCCAGGCAGTGCCACACAGCTTCTGAGTCCCCTTCTATTGCAGGGCCAGCGGGCTATCTGCGTCGGGCCAGTGTGGCCCAACTGACCCAGGAGTTGGGCACTGCCTTCTTCCAGAAGCAGCAGCTGTCAGCTGCAATGGCAGACACCTTCCTGGAACACCTTTGCCTCCTGGACATTGACTCTGAGCCCGTGGCTGCTCGCAGTACGTGCATCATTGCCACCATCGGTAAGATCTACCAATCTCTCTAGACACACAGTGGTTCTGGGGTCTGTCTGTCTGTCTTTCTTTCTTTCTTTCTTTCTTTCTTTCTTTTTTTTGAGACAGCGTCTCAAGCTGTCGCCCTGGGTAGAGTGCTGTGACATCACAGCTCACAGCAACCTCCAACTCTTAAGCTTAAGCTATTCTCTTGCCTCAGCCTCCCAAGTAACTGGGACTACAATGACTGGTTATTATTATTATTATTTTGGTTGTAATTGTCATCATTGTTGTTTGGTGGGCCCAGGCTGGATTCGAACCCACTAGCTCTGGTGTATGTGGCTGGCGCCCTGGCCGCTTGAGCTACAGGTGCCGAGCCCTGGGGTATTTCTTTTTCTTCTCCTTCTTCTTTTTTTTAAGTTTAGCTTTATTTTATTTATTTATTTATTTTATTTTTTGCAATTTTTTTTGGCCGGGGCTGGGTTTGAACCTGCCACCTCCAGCATATGGGACTGGTGCCTTACTCCTTTGAGCCACAGGTGCCGCCCCCTGGGGTATTTCTTTATGTGCTTCCTCATCTTTTATCCTTTATCTCCATTGAATATACATTTGTTGAATGAACAAATATATATACATATATATTTTTTGAGACAAAGTCTCACTTTGTCACCCTTGGTAGAGTGGCATTTTAGCTCACAGCAACCTCAAACTCTTGGGCTAAAATTATTTTCTTATCTCAGCCTCCTGAGTAGCTGAGACTACAGGTGCCTGCCACAATGCTTGACTATTTTTAGAGACTGGCTCTTGCTCTTGCTCAGGCTGATCTGGAACCCATGAGCTCAGGCAATCCACCCACGCTGGTCTCTCAGAGTGCTAGGAGAGGCCACTGCTCCCTGGCCTCAATATTTGTTGAGCTCCAGGTAGATAAGGTTGTGGGCCCTAGGAATAGATTAGGGGAAAAAAACAGACAAAAATCCCCACTTATGGGGGCTGATGGCCTAGCTGAGGATAACGACAAATAATAAACATAACAAAATTTTTTAGGCTGGGCACATTGGCTCGTGCCTATAATCCTAGCGCTCTGGAGAAGGGACAGGAGAATAACTTGAGCTCAGAAGTTCAAGACCAGCCCAAGCAAGACTGAGACCCTTCCTCTCTACCAAAAATAGAAAAATTACCCAGGTGTTGTGGCAGGTGACTATAATCCCAGTACTCTGGGAGGCTGAGGTATGTGGGTTGCTTAAGCTCAGGAAATTGAGACCAGCCGGAGCAAGAGCAAGACTTCATCTCTACTAAATATAGTAGAAATTCCAGCACTTTGAGAGGCTGAGGTGGGGGAATCACTTGAGGCCAGGAGCTCAAGATCAGCCTAGGAAACATAGTTTTTTCCTACAAAAAATAAGAAAAAAAATACTAGGCAAGTGTGGTGGTTTGTGCCTATGGTCCCAGCTACTGGGGAGGCTGAGGCAAGAGGATCACCTGAGCCCAGGCATTCAAGGATGCATTGAGTTATAATGATTCCACTGCACTCCAGCCTGAGCAACAGAGCACCACCTTGACTCAAAAGAAAAAGAAAATTATAGGCTCGGCGCCTGTGGCTCAAGCAGCTAAGGCGCCAGCCACATACACCTAAGGTGGCGGGTTCGAATCCCCAGCCCGGGCCTGCCAAACAACAATGATGGCTGCAACCAAAAAATGGCCAGGCGTTGTGGCGGGCGCCTGTGGTCCCAGCTACTTGGGAGGCTGAGGCAGGAGACTCGCTTGAGCCCAGGAGTTGGAGGTTGCTGTGAGCTGTGATGCCATGGCACTCTACCCGGGGGATAGCTTGAGGCTCCGTCTCAAAAAAAAAAAAAAAAAGAAAGAAAATTATAGACTAAGTGCTTGTAATCCTAGCACTCTGGGCAGCCAAGGTGGGAGTACCGTGTTTCCCTGAAAATAAGACCTACCCCCAAAATAAGCCCTAGCAGGATTTCTGTTAATTTGTTAAATGTAAGCCCTACCCCATAAGACCTAGTGATGGGCGTGGCTATGCAGTGTATCTGCATAGCCATGCCATGCATTTTGGTGCGGAGCGGTAAGGAAGACTGGAATACCTTTTATCTGCCACAGCTCCTTTCTCCAAGCCGAGCTGTTCGCCCTTGTGCAGGTGCATGTGTGGTAACCGCAGTCGGAGGCAACCTACTGCGTACTGTGAAACGCTAGGGGAAAGGAGTTCATGCATCACTAGCGCTAGCCCCACCAACAAGCTCAGTTCCCCCTGTCAGGTTCCAGAAGATGACTTAACTGTATTTGAATAAATGTAGATTGTTGTATTATACTTAACAAAAATAAGACATCCCCTGAAAATAAGCCCTAGTGTGTCTTCTTGAGAAAAAATAAATATAAGACAGTGTCTTATTTTGGGGGAAACATGATATTGCTTGAGGTCAGGAGTTTAAGACCAGCCTGAGCAAAAGTAAGAGTTCAGACTCTATCTCGACTAAAAATAGGAAATTTAGCCAGGCACAGTGGTTCATGCCTATAGTCCCAGCAAGTTGGGAGGCTGAGGCAGGAGGATAACTTGAAGATAGTTGTTCAAAGTTGCCGTGAGTTATGATCACACCACTGCACTCTAGCTAGGGCAACACAGTAAGACTTTGTCTCAAAAAAAAAAGTTTAGGCTCGGTGCCTGTAGCACAGTGGTTAAGGCACTGGCCACATGCACCAAGGCTGGCTGGTTCAAACCTAGCCCAGGCCAGCTAAACAACAATGACAACTGCAACCAAAAAATAGCTGGGCGTTGTGGTGGGCACCTATAGTCCCAGCTACTTGGGAGGCTGAGGCAAGAGAATCGCATGAGCCCAAGAGTTTGAGGTTGCTGTGAGCTGTGACACCATAGCACTCTACTGAGGGTGACAAAGTAAGACTCTGTCTCAAAAAAAGAAAAGAAAGAAAGAAAAGGAGAACTGATGGAGAACAGGGCATGTCAGGTTGAGCGAAGATCAAAGAAGGGAGACTGAGAGGAGTCAGCCAGTGCTGTGCCACTGAAGAAGCTGTATGTGGAGGGATATGTGTCCCAAGCTGCTGTTGGGGTCAGTAAGTGAGGGCTGAGTACCCAGCATTACACTGAGCAAGGACACAACCTTCTTGGTGACCTTTACAAGAACAGATGGGGCCAATACCTGACTGGGGTGCGTTCAAGGGAGAATGGGGGAGGGGAGCTGGAGTCAGGAACTACAGATAACTCTGGCAGTGAGCTTTGCTCTAAAGGAGAGCAAAGAGTAGGGCTGAATGTAGTTGGAGGGGAAATCAAGATTAAAGATTAGAGTCTCACTTTGTTAGCTTGGGTAGAGTGCTCTGGGGTCATAGCTCACAGCAACCTCAAACTCCTGGAAATGATCCTCTTGCCTCAGCCTCCCAAGTAGCTGGGACTATAGGCGCCACCACTACACCCAGCTAGCTTTTCTATTTTTAGTAGAGCCGGTTTCTTTCTCTGAGCCGGTCTCAAACTCTTGAGCTCAGACAATCCTCCTACCTCAGCTCAGAGTGCTGGGATTACAGGGTGAGCGACCGCACTCTGCCAAAAGAATAGTTTTTAATGAGGAAAGACATGACAGCAGGTTTACATGCTGATGGGAATAATCCAGGAAAAAGGAAAACATTGGTGACATAGAGGACCAGAGAATGGCTAACAATCTTTGTCCTTGAGCAAGTGAGGAGGAGGGGACCAGTGCACAAGGAAAGACCCTTGGCGAGGACTGGAGAGGTTAGTGCCGCTCTCAGCGGAACTACACCGGAGGCAGAGCCGGGTGGGCTAAGCCTCTAGGGGCAGCAAGCCCTCCACTCTGAACCTGCGCATCCAGTGTGCCCCCTGGGTTACCCCACAAGTAGTCCTCGCAGGTAACTCAGGCTTTGCAGATGACATATCTTCCAAGACGCTCCCCACTGTGCCTCACCCAGGGGACAGGTGTTGGCAGCAGGAGGGAATGGAGTGTGTGAACTGTAAGCAGGAGTTGTGCGGGGCTGTGAAGGCCAGGTACAGAGACTCCTGTCTGGGGGTGGTGATGGTTGGTGTCGGAGTGCGATCTCTGGTCCAGGGCCGGCGTCTCGCTCCGTGGAGCGCCTCAAGGAGATGATCAAGGCCGGGATGAACATCGCGCGACTCAACTTCTCCCATGGCTCCCACGAGGTACTGGGTGCACCGGGGAGGCGGGCAGGGCTCCTGGTTGCCCGGTGCCGGCTCAGTCCCTGAAAGTCCACTCCATCCCGCCGCAGTATCACGCCCAGTCCATCGTCAACATCCGAGAGGCGGTGGAGAGCTTTGCGACTTCCGCGTTCAGCTACAGGCCTGTGGCTATTGCCCTGGACACCAAGGGGCCCGAGATACGCACGGGGACCCTGATGGGGGTGAGAGGCGGGACGGGGCCGGCATGTCTAGGGCGGGGCGAGGCCGTGGAGCCGCAGACCAGCGCCTAGGCGGGTGAGGCGAGACCTGGGGGGCGGGGCCAATAGTGGGGCGGGACAGGTGGGGAGGAGGACGGGGCTGGCCCTGGGTCCCCGGAGCGAACCCACGCCCCTCTGGCTCTGCCCCAGGGCTCGGATTCGGAAGTGGAGCTGGTCAAAGGCTCGCAGGTGCTGGTGACCGTGGACCCGGCCTTCCAGATGCGGGGAGATGAGAACACCGTGTGGGTGGACTACCCCAATATCGTCCAGGTCGTGCCCGTGGGGGGCCGCATCTACATTGATGACGGACTCATCTCTCTAGTGGTCCAGAAAATCGGTGCGGACGCCTCCTGTCCTGACCATGCTAAACGCCTGGCATATCCTTTTCCCTTTGGCGCCCCCGCTCGCCCTTAGGCCCACGGCAACTTCCCTTCACCATATATCCTTTCCCACCCGCCCCAGGAATCCCCAGCCCTCAGACCCTGAGCCCACCTGGGTTAGGGATGGACTTGTAGATTACTCATTTCTTCCACATTCGTTTTTTTGGTGTCTATTCGAGACTGTGCCCAGGACGTGGGTGGAGAGATGAGTTGGACAGGACATGGCTCCTGATCTCCCAGGGGTCCAAGCCCGGTGTTCTTTCAGTCATGGCTATGCCCAGGGCCTCACCCCTGACCGAATTTGACTTTTCCCATGTCCACAGGCCCAGAAGGGCTGGTGACCCAAGTGGAGAATGGTGGCATCCTGGGCAACCGGAAGGGTGTGAACTTGCCCCGTATTCAAGTGGATCTTCCAGGGCTGTCAGAACAGGATGTCCGAGACCTGCGCTTTGGGGTGGAGCACGGCGTAGACATTATCTTTGCCTCTTTTGTGAGGAAAGCCAGTGATGTGGCTGCCATCCGAGCTGTTCTGGGGCCGGAAGGACAGAATATCAAGATCATCAGCAAAATTGAGAACCATGAAGGTGTGAAGAGGTGAGGCTGGGTCTTTGGTCCCATCAGGCCCTATTACTATCTTCTTTCCTCTCCTGTCTGCCTCTCCCTGGCATCTGCCACAGCCCTGATTCCCCCAATCCCCAGTTTTGATGAAATCTTAGAAGTGAGTGATGGCATCATGGTGGCACGAGGTGACCTGGGCATCGAGATCCCAGAGGAGAAGGTTTTCCTGGCTCAGAAGATGATGATTGGGCGCTGCAACTTGGCAGGCAAGCCTGTCATCTGTGCCACACAGGTGTGGAGCACTCTGGGGGCACTCTGTGGGTTTTAGGGACACCTGAGGGTTAATACCTACACCTTATGTCTATAGCTCATTTCTCTGTCCAGTGTTTAATCCTCAGACAGCCAAGTGAGGTAGAGATACTATGACTTCTACTTTCAGATAAGAACACTGAACTGCCAGGATCACAGTTTGTGATTGTTACCCTGGTTTTCAGGGCATTCTCAGAGTGTGGGTGTCAGAGAAATAGCTTGGGCAGGGTCCTCAAGCCGAGTGTGACTCCTACAGCTCTTATGTCCATGGTATCCTCCAGATGCTTGAGAGCATGATCACCAAACCACGGCCAACAAGGGCAGAGACAAGTGATGTGGCCAACGCAGTGCTGGATGGGGCAGACTGCATCATGCTGTCAGGAGAGACTGCCAAGGGCCACTTTCCTGTAGAAGCTGTAAAGATGCAGCATGCGGTAGGGCTCACAATGAAAGGCGAGTGGGCCGGGGGACCCCAGCACCCCTGCCCAGCCTGACAGCCTGGTTCCTGCAGATTGCCCGGGAGGCAGAGGCTGCAGTGTACCACCAGCAGCTGTTTGAGGAGCTACGTCGGGCAGCACCACTGAGCCGTGACCCCACTGAGGTCACTGCTATTGGTGCCGTAGAGGCTGCCTTCAAGTGCTGTGCTGCTGCCATCATTGTGCTGACCACAACTGGCCGGTGAGGGGTCAGCGGTAGGCTGCGGTGGGCCACAGGCCTGGGTTTAGTTTGGTCATCAAGGATGGAGAGTTATAATTCTGGGACAAGAGGAGGGGAGAGCCAGAGGTCAGGAGAGGCAGAACCAAGACAGAGAGCTGCCAGGGGCTGAAAGGGGACAGTGGCATCACTACACATATTAGCTTGGAGGTGCTTTGGGCTTCTAGAGCTCAAAAGCAAGCCCACCTACCCCCCAGGCCTTAGTATGCTGAGGTGTTGCAGAGGACCCAGTGGGCCTTGCTCTGAAACTTAGTTCTGTGAGCCTGCTGTTTCCTCATGTCTGTTGTAAGTCAATCATTTGTTTCTCATGGGTGGTAGGGATTAAAAGGAGACTTTTAGTACTATGCAGAAATTAAGGCTTGGCATCTGTAACTCAGTGGTTAGGGCATTTGTGGCCACATACACCAAAGCAGGTGGGTTTGAACCTGGCCCAAGCCTACTAAACAACGATGACAACTGCAACAAAAAAACAACTGGGCATTGTGGTGAGCACCTGTAGTCCCAGCTACTTGGGAATCTGAATCAGGAGAATCACTTAAGCCCAAGAGTTTGAGGTTGCTGTGAGCTGTGATGCCATGGCACACTCTACCT